ACTGTGCCCGGCCATAATTTTTTTGTATTATTATTATTATTTTTTTTTTAGTAGAGACGGGTTTTCGCTATGTTAGTCAAGCTGGTCTTGAACTTCTGACCTTAGAAGATCCGCCCGCCTCAGCCTCCCAAAGTGCTGGGATTACAGGCGTGAGCCACCGTGCCTGGCCTGGGATGCTTTTTATTGAAAGGAAAGCTCTGCCAAGGACTCTTTTACCCTCACTATCTGCCTAAATAATTTCTTTCTGTGTCCTGTGTATCAATACTAGGGTGAGGGTGATTTTAGGCATCATGTGGGGGCCTCCATCACCCATGATCCGTATCCTTCCTGTTGTTTTCTTTATCAACCACCCACCAAGGAGACCTTCCTGTGTCCCTTGCCCACCACTCCCAGGGGACATGGTTTTTTTTTTTTTTTTTTTTTTTTTTTTAGACAGAGTCTTGCTCTGTCACCCAGGCTGCAGTGCAGTGGTGAGATCTCGGCTCATTGCAATCTCGGCCTCCTGGGTTCAAGCAATTCTCCTGCCTCAGCCCCCTGCGTAGCTGGGATTACAGGTGCCCACCACCACTCCTGGCTAATTTTTGTGTTTTTAGTAGAGATGGGATTTCACCATGTTAGGCAGACTGGTCTCGAACTCCTGACCTCAGGTGATCTTCCCGCCTTGGCCTCCCAAAGTGGTGGGATTACAGGTGTGAGCCACCACGCCCGGCCAGGACCTGGTTTATTGGCCACAGCTCCCGCCTCTCCCCTTTCTTTCTTCCCTTGATCTCCTGTCCCACCCTATCTGGTCTGCACCAGAAGGGGCTGTATTCGCACTTTGTGAGCAGAGCAGCCTCAGAGGGCCCACGTGGGACCTGAGGTGGGGAAGGAAATTCTGAGTAGTGTCTGCACCTTGCCACAGTCTGCTGGTTGGGAGACAAGATGCTCTGGGGGATTCAGTTTTACGGAAGCAGGAAAAACAAGGTCAGTGAGGCCTCAGCAGAAGACTCCCAGGGCAGGCCCCGCTTCTGCCTATGGGGCAGACAGAACACTTGTCTCTGATCCAGGCGGGAGTGCTACCGACACCCAAGGTTTGCTGCTGTGTGCACTGAGGGTGGCTGGCTGGTACTGGAGGGATGAGAGAGCCTGGAGGGGCGGGGCTTTAGGAGTGGCCTTAGACAGGGCTTGGCAGGCAGGAGATCACTCATTCAACAAACATTCATTGAGCACCTACTGAATGGCAGGCAGGGAACAAGCCAGACACAAATCCCTGCCCTCATGGAGTTGAGCTGCTAATAGGTGGAAGACACGCAGAGAACAAGATTAGGAAGTGAGGTATGTGCAATGTGAGATATGATAAGACTTTGACAATGGTTAAGGGGAAAAATGGCAGACAAGAGTGGATGAGAAGGGCTGATCTGGAATTTTAGTTTTATTGTATTTTTTTGAGACAGGGTCTCACTTTGTTGCCCATGCCAGAGTGCAGTGGTATAATCACAGCTCATTGCAGCCTTAAGTTCCTGGGCTCCAGGGATCCTCCTACCTCAGCCTCCTGAGTAGCTGGGACTACAGGTGTGTACCAACATGCCTGGTTAATTTTTTCATTAATATCACAGTGTGTAAGCCCTGTGATTTGATAAATATCAGAGGGATATTTCATTAATTTTGTAGAGACAAGGCTTCCCTATCTTGCCCAGGTTGGTTTTTCTCCATGTTGGTCAGGCTGTTCTTGAACTCCTGACCTCAGGTAATCCACCCGCCTCAGCCTCCCAAAGTGCTAGGATTCCAGGTGTGAGCCATGAGCCACCATGCCCAGCCTGATCCTCCTCCTTATTGCAATCCTCCATGTACATGTGATTCCTTTCTCTGGCTTCCTTTTTCTTCTTTTTCTGTTTCTACTTTTTTTATTTTTTATTTTTTTTGGGATGGAGTCTCCTGTTGCCCAGGCTGGAGTGCAGTGGTACGATCTTGGCTCACTGCAACCTTCGCCTCCCAGGTTCAAGAGATTCTCCTGCCTCAGCCTCCCTGGTAGCTGGGATTACAAGTGCCTGCCACCTTGCCCAGTTCATTTTTGTATTTTTTGTAGGGACAGGGCTTCACCATGTTGGCCAGGCCAGTCTCGAACTCCTGACCTCAGGTGATCCCCTGGCTTCAACCTCCCAAAGTGCTGGGATTACAGGCATGAGCCACTGTGCCTGGCCATCTACTTGTTTTTCTTTTCTTGTTTTTAGAGATGGGGTCTCACTATGTTGCCCAGGCTGGAGTGTAGTGGCTATTCACAGGCTGACCATAATGCACTGCAGCCTCAAACTCCTAGGCTCGAGGACTCCTCCCATCTCAGCCTCCTGAGTAGCTGGGACTGTAGGCTCACGCCACTGCACCTGTGTTTTCCTTCTTTTTCTATTTATGACTATCTAACATAACTTCTAAGATAGTTGAGTTATTTATTTTATTCACTCTCTTTCTCCCTGTTGCTGCTCCCATGGGTAAAATTTTTTGTTGTTGTTCACCAATGTATTTCTGGTTCTTATGTGTTAGAGCCTAACACAGAGTAGGTGGTCAGTACTTATCTGTTGAATCGATGAATGAACAAATGAATCTGTTTGACATATCAGGAGACCAATGCTCAGAGATGTTGTTCTACACCCCTGAGGTCACACAGCAAGAATGAGCCTGAGCTGGAAGCAGCCTGGGCTCATAGCCTTGTTATTTCAGTTAATGGGGCTGGATTCCAACATCTGTTCCTGAATACCTACTGTGTGCCAGGTCCCGAGGGATGGTATGGGCCATATAGCTATCATCCCTGTACCATGAGACCACCTAGCCTTTATTGTAGAAAGGTCCCCTCACTTCTAAGAGTGCCTTTTTTTTTTTCCGGAGACAGAGTTTTGCTCTGTTGCCCAGGCTGGAGTGTAGTGGTGTGATCGTGGCTCACTGCAGCCTCAATCTCCTGGACTCAAGCGATCCTCCCACCTCAGCCTCCCAAGTAGCTCAATCTACGGGTGTGCACCACCATGCCCAGCTTATTAAAAAATTTTTTTATTTGAGAGAAGTCTTGTTCTTGTCCCCCAGGCTTGAGTGCAATAGCTCGATCTCGGCTCACTGTAACCTCCGCCTCCCGGGTTCAAATGATTCTCCTGCCTCTGCCTCCCAAGTAGCTGGGATTAAGGCATCTGCCACCATACCCGGCTAATTTTTGTATTTTTAAGTAGAGACGGGGTTTCACTGTGTTGGCCAGGCTGATCTTGAACTCCTGACCTCAGGTGATAGGCCCGCCTCGGCCTCCCAAAATGCTGGGATTACAGGCATGAGCCACTGTGCCCGGCCTAAAAAATTTTCTTTTTTGTGTAGTTGGGGTCTCACCTTGTTGCCCAGGATGGTCTCAAGTTCCTGGCCTCAAGAGATCCTCCTGCCTCGGCCTGCCAAAGTGCTGGGATTATAGGCATGAGCCACCATGCTCAGCCCAAAAAGTGCTCTTGACTGGCAGATACACCGTCAGTCCTTTTGACCTATTTACCTGTCCCTCCCCCTGTTACTTTTCCCCTTCTCCTATCCTCCTATGTCTATTTGGATCTGCTCCCCACCCCCATCCATCTGGAGTCTGATTAGCCCTGTGTGTGCTTAGCAGATGTTGGCTAAACAGACGGGCTCTTTCTTCCTTCTCAGACAGGCCTCCATTTTCCCATCTCTAGAACGGGTACAGTCATATTTGCCCTCCTACAGGTTGGGAAGGCTCTATGACATCAGGCCATGTAACAGGGGAAAGCCCAGCGGCTGCAGTCAGCTTTGAATGGAAAGGGAGGTTAATCTGCTGCCACCTTCCTGCCTCAATGAAGACCGGGGCTACCCCATTGCCCATGTGCGGTGCGGGGGAAGGTTTTTCTATTTGTGGAGACCCTCACTTGCTTATAGTGAGCCTGTCAGGTAAGAAATACATTCTGTTTTGTTTGAGACACTGTTGTTCTGAGTCTCAGTTATGGAAACTCAACCTAATGCTCCCCATGGGCCTGATGAATGTTCATTGTTGTTGAAGCCAATTTGAGTTGCATTTCCTCTTACTTTTAGTAAAAACCCCTACAAAGGAAAATTGGGGTCTTGTCCCTTGGGGTACATATTAGTTTCCTATAGTGACTCTAAAAAATTTCCCATACATTGAGTGACTCAGAACAATGGAAATGGATTATTATTATTACTATTTTGAGATAGAGTCTTGCTCTTTGGCCCAGGCTAGAATGCAGTGGCAAGATCTTGGCTCACTGCAACCTCTGTCTCCCTGGTTCAAGCAATTCTCCTGCCTCAGCCACCCGAGTAGCTGGGATTACAGGTGCCGGCTGGGATTACAAGTGCCCACCATCACGCCCAGCTATTCTTTTTTTTTTTTTTTTTGTATTTTTAGTAGGGATAGGGTTTCACCAGGTTGGCCAGGCTGGTTTCGAATGCCTGACCTCAAGTGATCCACCGTTTCAGCCTCCTAAAGTGTTGGGATTACGGGCGTGAGCCACCTCACCCAGCCAGAAATGGATTAGTTTATATGGATTATTTTATTTTTTTGAGATGGAGTTTCATTCTTTTTGCCCAGGCTGGTGTGCAATGATGTGATCTCGGCTCACTGCAACCTCTACCTCCCGGGTTCAAGCGATTCTCCTGCCTCAGCCTCCTGAGTAGCTGGGATTACAGGCACCTGCCACCATGCCTGGCTAATTTTTGTATTTTTAGTAGAGATGGGGTTTCACCATCTTGGCCAAGCTGGTGTCAAACTCCTGGCCTTAAGTGATCCACCCACCTCAGTCTCCAAAGGTGCTGGGATTCCAGGCGTGAGCCACCACGCCAGGTCAGTTGTCATTGTTCCTTCTGTGCGTGAATCCAAAGTGGGGAGAAAGGCTCTGTGTGTGTGTGTGTGTTTGGGTGAGCATGTGTGATGTCTGAGGGCTTCCTGTCAAGATGAATTTGCATGTATTTGACTTTGAAAGGAAAAGGGAACTGAGAGAGCCCCCAGATGCCTGAGTAGGAGAGACAGGGGACAGAGGTTGCCAAGCCCTGGCTGCCACTGGTCAGGTTCCTTGTGTTAGACATGCATAAGCTGTATTCCATCACTGGGTGTCCGGACCCACCAGGTAAAGCCCCGGCCAGGCAGGGGCTGGGGCCCAGGTGTGATCAGGACCCAGGGTACAGAATCCCCACCATGGGGCAGCTGAGGCAGAGACCAGGGCTTGAGGGATGAAGGGAGGAGGGAATGGCTGGGCGCTGACTTGCCTTTTCCCTGGAAGGGACCATGGAGGAGGAGGAGGAGGATGATGACTATGAGAACTCAGCGCCTGCCTACAAGGACCTTCCTCCCAAGCCAGGTAAGAGGACTTTTTTTTTTTTTTAATTTTTATTTATTTATTTTTTTTGGGGCGGAGTTTCGCTCTGTCGCCCAGGCTGGAGTGCAGTGGCCGGATCTCAGCTCACTGCAAGCTCCGCCTCGCGGGTTCACGCCATTCTCCTGCCTCAGCCTCCCGAGTAGCTGGGACTACAGGCGCCCGCCACCTCGCCTGGCTAGATTTTTTGTATTTTTTAGTAGAGACGGGGTTTCACCGGGTTAGCCAGGATGGTCTTGATCTCCTGACCTCGTGATCCGCCCGTCTCGGCCTCCCAAAGTGCTGGGATTACAGGCTTGAGCCACCGCGCCCGGCCGTAAGAGGACTTTTTGAAGCATGACCTGGGGGAATGCAGAGAAAAGGGTCTCCAGGGGGCATTGGCTGGGCATTGTAGATATACGGTCTCCTCTGTACCCAGCCCATGCTGGGCACTGTGGAACCCACACCCTGCCCAGGAGGACCTGTCAGTCTGATGGCAGAGGCAGGTTTGGGCACAGTCTTGGTGAGCAGGGCTGAGAGAGGAAGGGTCAGGAGACTGGCCAAATCCTTGGGGGATTGAGGGCTCAATTAGAGGAAGGGATTTTGAGGTGAGACTTGAGGGATGAGTAGACATTTCTTAAGAAGAGAAGTCCAGGAGAGAAATGTTGGGGGCAAAGTCCCTGAGTCACAAAAACTGGTGCTTGAGAAACTGGGAGTGGACTGTGGGCTCCCAATCTCCTCACCTTTCCACCCAAAGCCCAGATTTTATTTAGACTTGGATCTCAAACCCAAGGCATGGCACAGGGTTCAACAAGAGTCTAAGTGGTTGTAAAAGTGGAGGTTTGGGCCAGCTGCAGTGGTGTGCGTCTGTAGTCTCGATACTTTGGGAGGCCAAGGCAGGAGATCATTTGAGGACAGGAGTTTGAGACCAGCTGGGGCAACATAGCAAGACCCTGTCTCTGCCAAAAAAAAAAAAAAAAAAAAAAAAAAAAGTAGAGGTTTGGGCCATGTGTGGTGGCACACGTCTGTAGTCCCAGCTACTTGGGAGGCTGAGTCAGGAGGATGGCTTGAGCCCAGGAGTTCTAGGCTATTGTGAACTATGTGATCGGGCATCTGCACTAAGTTTGGCATCAATATGGTGACGTTTTGGGAGGTGGGGACCACTAGGTTGCCTAAGGTGTCTGAGGAGGGGTTTCCAGGTTGGAAATGGAGCAGCTGGACACTACTGAGCTGATCAGTAGTGCGACTGCTCCTGTGAGTAGCCGCTGCACTCCAGCTTGGGCAGCATAGCGAGACCCCACTTCTAAAAAAAGAAAAGAAAATGAAACTGGAGGTTGTTGAGGTTTTCCAGGGTTTACTGCCACCAGGGACCCTGAGGCCGTGAGAGATCCCGGGGGCCCAAAACACAAAATCCGTGGGATATGCTGATAGTCTGGTCCAGGTGACCTTAGACAGGGGCCATTCTGTGAGGGCTAAGGCTGTATATCCCTCATCTCTGGGTCCAGAGTAGGGCCACCTGGGAGGTCCAGAAATATGATGGGACTTGCGTGAGGTAGGAGGTGAACTGGGCTGTGTTGTTTCACTGCCTCATCTCCAATTTATGGTCCTAATGTGACCCTCAAGCCCTGGGTCTACATATATGACCAACCAATCCCACTCCCTTCTTCAGGGCCACGTCTCCTCCAAAAGCACAGTCCTGTCCTCACCTCCACATGCAACCTCGCATCCACTCTCCAATCCATCTTCATCACCCTCTCTACTGCAGCCCAGCCTCGACTCCTTCCCCATTCCCAAACCTGGCAAGGATTCTGTTCATCATTCTAACCACATCGTGACCTTACCCATATCCACCCCTGTCCCCAACCCATCTTCCATCCCATCCCACCCCATCCCAACTCCAATGCTAATCCAAACCCCACCTCATCTTCATCCCCGTCCTCAAACTCAACTGTGTTTTTGTGTTTTGAAATCCCCTCCATCCCCTTCCTTCCCTTCTCCTTTCAATCAAACCCTCAAAGAGACACACAGAGAACTGTGAATTGTCTGCGCATTAGTTTTATGAGAGGAAACCAGAGAATTTTTTAAAAAAATTTTTTGAGACAGGGTCTTGCTTGTCACCCAGGCTGCCCTGCAGTGGTGCAATCATAGCTCACTGCAGCCTTGAGCTCTTAGGTCCAAGCAATCCTCCTACTACAACCTCCCGAGTAGCTGGGGTTACAGGCATGAGCCACTCTCTGTAAAGCCTCATGTGAAGCTCAGGGTCTGCATATATGGCTCATACGACTCTCAGGTGCTGTAAGTTCTGCAGAGATGACTGTGATAGTCAAGATGGGTTCCCCATGACCCTTACATTCTCGTATTCATGCCCTTGTGTAGTCTCTTCCCACAATGACTCAGAGCTGGTCCGTGTGATCAACAGAATACTGTATAGCGGAGACCATCCCTTGCGAGTCGTGAGGGTAGATCATAGAAGCATGGTGGCTTCTATCTTTGCCTCTGCCGTGTTGTGAAGATGCCCAATCATCCCTTTGGAGAGGCTCACAGGGCAAGGAACTGAGGCCTCCCACCAACAGCCATGTGAGTGCATCATCTTGGAAGCAGATCCCCTAGCCCCAGTCAAGCCTGCAGATAGATGACTTGCAGTCCCAGGCAACGTCTTGACTACAATCACACAAGAGATCTCAAGCTAGAACTACCCAGCTAAGCTGCTCTCAGATTCCTGAACCACACAAACTGTGAGATAATAAATGCTTATGGTTGTTTAAAGTCACTACGTTTTGGGGTAATTGTTTACACAGCCATAAATAACTGACCCAGTGCTCTGCTGGTACTTCACCCTGGAATGTGGGGGAATACTTAGCACCTATCCCCTTAACATCTTGTTACAAATGTTACCACTTCCAGGAGGTACTTGCTGACTACCTCTCTATGTTAGCTTTTATCCTATCCCATTGCTCCGTTTTATTAGGTTTAGAGCAATAATACTTAGTCTATATAAAAACATATTTTAATGTTTCTTAATTTCTTTACAATTATTATTTTTTTTGAGATGGAGTTTCACTCTTGCTGCCCAGGCCGGAGTGCAATGGTGCAATCTCGGCTCATCGCAACCTCCGCCTCCCAGGTTCAAGTGATTCTTCTGACTCAGTCTCCCTGGCAGCGGGGATTATAGGCATGCGCCACCGTGCCCTGATAATTTTGTATTTTTAGAAAAGATGAGGTTTCTCCGTGTTGGTCAGGCTGGTCTCGAACTCCTGACCTCAGGTGATCTGCCTGCCTCGGCCTCCCAAAGTGCTGAGATTACAGGCGTGAGCTACTGCGCCCAGCCTCTTTTCTTTTCTTTTCTTTTTTTAAGAGTGGGATCTCCCTCTGTTGCCCAGGTGGGAGTGTAGTAGTGCAATCATGGCTCACTGCTGCGTAAACCTCCTAAGCTCAAGCAATCCTCCCACGTCAGTGTCCTGATAGCTGGGACTACAGGTGTGCACCACCATGCCTGGATGGTTTTTTCTTTTTTTTTCTTTTTTCTTTTTTTTTTTTTTTAACAGAGATAGGGTCTTGCTATGTTGGCCAAGCTGGTCTTGAACTCCTAGCCTCAAGCAATCCTCCTGCCTTGGCCTCCCAAAATGCTGGGATTATGGGCATGAGCCACTGCGCCCAGCTTATTTCTATGTCTCTTTACTGGTTTATTGTGTCTCTGGTCTAGATTGAAGGAAGAAGCTTATCCATCTCTTCCACCCAGGACTTGGTGCTCTATAGGGGAGCTCAACTGGGAGTGGGGAGTGGGGAGGGGGTGGCTGTTGTCATTGCTCCTCCTCCTCCTCCTCCTCCCCCTCCTTCTTCTTCAATAGAATCTCACTCTGTTGCCCAGGCTGGAGTGCAGTGGCACTATCTCGGCTCACTGCAAGGGGGGTTATTGTCATTGTTTCTTCTTCCTCTCTTTTTTTGAGACAGAATCTCACTCTGTCACTCAGGCTGGAGTGCAGTGGTACAATCTCAGCTCACTGCAACCTCTGCCTCCTGGGTTCAAGTGATTCACCTGCCTCAGCCTCATAGGTAGCTGGGATTACAGGCGTGCACCACCACGCCAGGCTAGTTTTTGTATTTTTGGTAGAGACGAGGTTTCACCACGTTGGTTGCCCAGGCTTATCTTGAACTCCCAACCTCAGGCGACCTGCCTGCCTCAGCCTCCCAAAGTGCTGGGATTACAGATGTGAGCCATCACACCTGGCCCATTGTTTCTTCTATGTGTGAATCCAAACTCTGGAGACAGGTGTGTGTGTGTGTGTGTGTGTGTGTGTGTGTGAGGTCTGGGGGCTTCCCCCAAGATGGATTTGCGTGTACTTGACTTTGAAAGGAGAGGGAAACAGACAGATGCCTTAGACACCTGAATAGGAGGGACAAACCTGGCTGCCACTTGCCATGTTCTTGGTGTTAACTGTAGCCATGTACAACCTGCATACTATCGCTGGGTGTCCGGACCCACCAGGTAAGGCCCCGGCCGGGCTGGGGCTGGGGCCCAGGTGTGGTCAGGACCCAGGGTACAGAATTCCCATCATGGGGCAGTGGAGGCAGAGACCAGGGCTTGAGGGATGGAGGGAGGAGGGAATGGCTGGGCTCTAACTTGCCCTTCCCCTGGAAGGGACCATGAAGGAGGAGGAGGATGATGATGACTATGAGAACTCAACACCTCCCTACAAGGACCTTCCTCCCAAGCCAGGTAAGAGGACTTTTTGGAGTGTGACGTGGGGGAATACAGGGAACAGGGTCTTCAGGGGACATTGGCTGGGCATTGTAGACACACAGTCAGTCTCCTCTCTACCCAGCCCATGCCGGACACCGTGGAACCCACACCCTGCCAGGAGGATCTACTAGTCTGATGGGGGAGGCAGTTTTGGACACAGCCTTATTGAGCATTGCTGAGAAAGGAGGGGTCAGGAGACTGGCAAAATCCTAGGGGGACTGCGGACTCAACTAGAGGAAGGGACTTTGGGGTGGGACTTGAGGGATGAGTAGACGTTTCTTTTTTTTTTGAGATGGAGTTTCACTCTGTTGCCCAGGCTGGAGTTCAGTGGCACAATCTCCGCTCACTGCAACCTTGCCTCCTGGGTTCAAGCGATTCTTCTGCCTCAGTCTCCTGATTAGCTGGGATTACAGGCGCCCGCCACCATGCATGCCTAAGTTTTGTATTTTTAGTAGAGATGGGATTTCACCATATTGGTCAGGTTGGCCTCGAACTCCTGACCTCAGGTGATCCGCCCATCTCGGCATCCCAAAGTGCTGGGATTACAGGCATGAGCCACCACGCCCTGCCGAGTAGACATTTCTGAAGTAGAGAAGCACAGGAAAGAATTGTGGGGTACAAAGTCCCTGAGTCATAAAAGCTGGTGCTTGAGAAACTGGGAGTGGACTGTGGGATCCTCAGTCTCCTCTCATTACCACTCAAAGCCCAGGGCTTTATTAGTCTGGGATCTCAATAAACCCAAGGCATAGCGCAGGGTTCAGCAAGAGTCTGATCAGAGGATGTAAAAGTGGAGGTTTGGGCTGGTTGCAATGGTGTGTGTCTGTAGTCCCACTGCTTTGGGAGGCCAAGGTGGGAGGATCACTTGGCCATGAGTTCACTGGGGTCCAGGAGTTCCAGACCAGCCTGGGCAATAGAGAGCAAGACGCCTATCTCTACCAAAGAAAAAAGAAAGAGAAAAGTGGAGGTTTGGGCCAGGAGGAGTGGCTCATGCTTGTAATTCTAGCACTCTGGGAAGCCAAGGTGGGAGAATCAATGTAGCCCCAGAAAAGAGACCATCCCGGGTAACACAGTGAAACCCCCAGCTATATGAAAACATTTTTTTTTTCAAATTAAAAATTTAGCCAGTTGTGGGATGTGTGCCTGTTGTCCCAGCTTCTCAGGAGGCCGAGGTGATAGGACTGCTAGAGCCCAGGAGTTCAAGGGTGCAGTGAGCTATGATGGCACCACTGCACTCCAGTCTGGGTGACAGAGCAAGGCACTATCTTTAAAAAAAAAATATATATATATATGACTGGGCACGGTGGCTCATGCCTGTAATCCCAGCACTTTGGGAGACTGAGGTGAGTGGATCACTTGAGGTCAGGAGTTCGAGACCAGCCTGGCCAACATGGTGGAACCCCATCTCTATTAAAAATAAAAAAGTTGGGCTGGGCGCGGTGGCTCATGCCTGTAATCCCAGCACTTTGGGAGGCCGAGGCGGGCGGATAACAAGGTCAGGAGATCGAGACCATGGTGAAACCCCGTCTCTACTAAAAAATAGAAAAAAATTAGCTGGGCACAGTGGCGGGCGCCTGTAGTCCCAGCTACTCGGGAGGCTGAGGCAGGAGGAATGGCGTGAACCCGGGAGGCGGAGCTTGCAGTGAGCCGAGATTGCAGCACTGCACTCCAGCCTGGGCGACAGAGCGAGACTCTGTCTCAAAAAAAAAAAAAAAAAAAAAAAAAAAAAAAAGTTAGCTGGGCGTGGTAGCAGCATATGCCTGTAATCTGGCTACTTGGGGGCTGAGGCAGAACTGCTTGAACCCAGGGGCAGAGGTTGCAGTGAGATGAATCACGCCACACACCACTCAGTCTGGGGCAACCCAGGCAAGGCAAGACTCTATCTCAGGAAAAAAAATGACCAGGCACGGTGGCTCATGCTTATATTGACAGCACTTTGGGAGGCCGTGGCGGGCAGATCATGAGGTCAGATCGAGACCATCCTGGCTAACACGGTGAAACCCCATCTCATACTAAACATACAAAAATTAGGCGGCGCCTGTGGTCCCAGCTACTCGGGAGGCTGAGGCAGGAGCATGGCATGAACCTGGGAAGTGGAGCTTGCAGTGAGCCGAGATTGCGCCACTGCACTCCAGCCTGGGAGACAGAGAGAGACTCCATCTGAAAAAAAAAAAAAAAAAAATTGGAGACACCAGGCAATCCCAGGTTGGTTGGTCATCTAAAGCAATCTATCTCCATCCCACAATCCCAATTCCATTCTCACGTCCCACCCCATCTCAGCAATCTCCAACCCTCCACTGCAGTCCTAACCTGTTTACCATCACTTCCTTTTGACTCATTCCCATCCTCAGCCGAGCTCTCACCCTGAGCTTCTCTTCTCCAGGTTCAAGTGCTCCACCAAGACCTCCAAGAGCAAGTGAGTTGGGGCTGGGAGTGTAGGAGACCCAGAGCTAACTGCCCTGCTCTGAGCCTCAGCAACATTCCCTCCCTCCTCAGAAAAGGAAACAGAAACCCCCACTTCCTTGCAAGCCCAGGACATGACCAGGTGAGTGCTGAGGGCTGGGGTTTCCTGCTCACCTGGCTGAAGCCCTTCTTGAAATGACTTTCTCATCTCTTCTAGGACTGGACCTCGTCTCATCGCCTGTCCACCTCCTCAACTGGGTGAGCAGTGGGAAGACCCTTTAAGATGCTTAAGAGGGGATACCTGGATGTTTCCTTTCAATTCCCCAATTTTTATTTATTTATTTATTTTGGAATGTGAGTCTCGCTTTGTCATCCAGACTGGAGTGCAGTGGCACGATCCTGGCTCACTGCAACCTCTGCCTCCTGAGTTCAAGTGATTCTCTTGCTTCAGCCCCGAGTAGCTAAGACTACCAGACACGAACCACCTGACTAATTTTTGTATTTTTAGTAGAGACGGGGTTTTGCCATGTTGTCCAGGCTGGTCTTGAATTCCTGACCTCAGGTGATCCACCCGCCTCGGCCTCCCAAACTGCTGGAATTACAGCATGAGCCACTGCACCCCCAACCAGCCCCTAAATTCTCACCAGAGAACAGAGCAGAGGCTGTTGATCTTGGAAGACAGAGTCTTTTGGCATCTTCTGAATAAACCTCTCTCCCCCTTTCTCCCAGCTGTGCATCTTGAGCCTTCTCCATTGCAGCCATCCTGGCTGGTAAGTTATTATCCTGCAAATTGTCTTGTTTCCTTCTGACAGTGGCTAGTGTATCTGATTGAGACCTATGACTCTACAGTGAGACCCTGAGTCAGAGGAACTACTCCTTCAAGAAGTTGCTCCTTCCAGGACCTGCTGCACTGTTCTGATTACTCCAGAAATTAGGCGCTGCTCTAAGTGAGAAAGCCATTCTTTGACATCAGAGTTTGCAAACATGTTTTCTTTTTGTCCTTCTGAGGACCAGAGTTATGTGGTTGTTTGTTTTAATATGGTTATGGTACTTATGGTTCTGTTGGTGATTGTGATGGAAGGATGAAGAAGGAGATGATGGAAAGGAAGAGGATGGTTGGTGGTAGTAATGATGGTAGAGGTAGTGATGGCATTGTTGAGTGCTCATGGTGATGGTGGAGATACTAATGATGGTGGTGATGGTGGAGATGGTGATGGTGTTGTTGGTATTGATGATGGTAATGATGGTAGAGACAGTGATATGGTGGTGATGGGGGGTAGAGGTAGTGATGATGTTGTTGGTGATGGTGGTGGTGATAGTGAAGGCAGTGATGGTGTTAGTGGGATGGTGATGCTGATATTGGTAGTGATGGTGTTGGTGGTGATGGTGTTGGTGATGATGGTAGAAGTAATTGTTAATTATTTTTGACAATGACAATGTTGTTGAGTGATGATGATGGTGATGGTGAAGGCAGTGATGGTGTTGGTGATGACAGTGCTGTTGGTAGTGATGATGATGGTAATGGTGGAGGTGGTGATGGTGCTGTTAATATTGATAATGGTAGTGAGATAGTGTTAGGGTGGTGATGGTGGGTGGAGATAGTGATGGTGTTGTTGGTGATGGTGGTGGTGGTGATGAGTGGAGGTAGTGATGGTGTTGGCTGGGTTGGTGGTGATGATGGAGGTAGTGATAGTGTTAGTGGGATGGTGGTGGTGATGGTGAAGGTAGTGATGGTGTTGTTGGTACTGATGATGGTGGTGGTGGAGGTAGTGATGGTGTTGGTAGTGATGATGGTGGTGATGGTGGAGGTATTGATGGTCTTTGGTAGTGATGATGGTGATGGTGGAAGTAGTGATGATGTTGGTAGTGATGGGTGGTGATGGCAGAGGTGGTGATGATGTTGGTAGTGATGATGGTGGTGACTGTGGAGGTAGTGATGATGTTGTTGGTAGTGATGGTGGTGACGGTGGAGGTGGTGATGGTGTTGTTGGTAGTGATAGTGGTGGTGTGATTGGAGGTAGTGATGGTGTTGTTGGTAGTGATGATGGTGGTGACGGTGGAGGTAGTGATGGTGTTGCTGGTAGTGATGATGGTGGTGACGGTGGAGTAGTGATGATGGTGGTGGCGGTGGAGGTAGTGATGGTGTTGTTGGTAGTGATAATGGTGGTAATGATTGAGTAGTGATGGTGTTGTTGGTAGTGATGATGGTGGTGATGGTGGAGGTAGTGATGGTGTTGGTAAAAAAAAAAAAAAAAAAAAAAAAAAAAAAAGTTAGCTGGGCGTGGTAGCATATGCCTGTAATCCTGGCTACTTGGGGGGCTGAGGCAGAACTGCTTGAACCCAGGGGGCAGAGGTTGCAGTGAGATGAGATCACGCCACCGCACTCCAGTCTGGGCAACAGGGCAAGCAAGACTCTATCTCAAGGGGGAAAAAAAAAAATGACCAGGCACGGTGGCTCATGCTTATAATGGCAGCACTTTGGGAGGCCGTGGCGGGCAGATCATGAGGTCAGATCGAGACCATCCTGGCTAACACGGTGAAACCCCATCTCTACTAAACATACAAAAAATTAGGCGGGCGCCTGTAGTCCCAGTTACTCGGGAGGCTGAGGCAGGAGCATGGCATGAACCTGGGAAGTGGAGCTTGCAGTGAGCCGAGATTGCGCCACTGCACTCCAGCCTGGGAGACAGAGAGAGACTCCATAAAAAAAAAAAAAAAAAATGGAGACACCAGGCAATCCAGGTTGGTTGGTCATCCTAGCTTAATCCTATCTCCATCCCTAATCCCAATTCCATTCTCACGTCCCACCCCATCTCCAACCCAATCTCCAACCCTCCACTGCAGTCCTAACCCTGTTTCCATCACTTCCTTTTGACTCATTCCCATCCTCAGCCGAGCTCTCACCCTGAGCTTCTCTTCTCCAGGTTCAAGTGCTCCACCAAGACCTCCAAGAGCAAGTGAGTTGGGGCTGGGAGTGTAGGAGACCCAGAGCTGGCTTTGCCCTGCTCTGGGCCTCAGCAACCATTCCTCCCTCCTCAGAAAAGGAAACAGAGAAACCCCCACTTCCTTGCAAGCCCCGGAACATGACAGGTGAGTGCTGAGGGCTGGGGTTTTCCTGCTCACCTGGCTGAAGCCCTTCTTGAAATGACTTTCTCATCTCTTCTAGGACTGGACCTCGTCTCTGTCACCTGTCCACCTCCTCAACTGGGTGAGCAGTGGGAAGACCCTTTAAGATGCTTAAGAGGGGATACCTGGATGTTTCCTTTCAATTCCCCAATTTTTATTTATTTATTTATTTTGAGACAGAGTCTCGCTTTGTCATCCAGACTGGAGTGCAGTGGCACGATCCTGGCCCACTGCAACCTCTGCCTCCTGGGTTCAAGTGATTCTCTTGCTTCAACCTCCCGAGTAGCTAAGACTACAGACACGAACCACCTGACTAAGTTTTGTATGTTTAGTAGAGACAGGGTTTTGCCATGTTATCCAGGCTGGTCTTGAACTCCTGACCTCAGGTGATCCACCCGCCTCGGCCTCCCAAACTGCTGGAATTACAGCATGAGCCACTGCCCCCAACCAGCCCCCTAAATTCTCACCAGAGAACAGAGCAGAGGCTGTTGATCTTGGAAGACAGAGTCTTTTGGCATCTTCTGAATAAACCTCTCTCCCCCTTTCTCCCAGCTGTGCATCTTGAGCCTTCTCCATTGCAGCCATCCCTGGCTGGTAAGTTATTATCCCCTGCAAGTGTCCTCCCATTTCCCTTCTGACAGTGGCTAGTGTATCTGATTGAGACCTATGACTCTACAGTGAGACCCTGAGTCAGAGGAACTTCTCCTTTAAGAAGTTGCTCCTTCAGGACCTGCTGCACTGTTCTGAGTTACTCCAGTGGGCGCTGCTCTAAGTGAGAAAGCCATTCTTTGACATCAGAGTTTGCAAACATGTTTTCTTTTTTGTCCTTCTGAGGACCAGAGTTATGTGGTTGTTTTGTTTTTAATAATGATTATGGTACTTATGGTTCTGTTGGTGATTGTGATGGAAGGATGAAGAAGGAGATGATGGAAAGGAAGAGGATGGTTGGTGGTAGTAATGATGGTAGAGGTAGTGATGGCATTGTTGAGTGCTCATGGTGATGGTGGAGATACTAATGATGGTGGTGATGGTGGAGATGGTGATGGTGTTGTTGGTATTGATGATGGTAATGATGGTAGAGACAGTGATATGGTGGTGATGGGGGGTAGAGGTAGTGATGATGTTGTTGGTGATGGTGGTGGTGATAGTGAAGGCAGTGATGGTGTTAGTGGGATGGTGATGCTGATAGTGGTGGTAGTGATGGTGTTGGTGGTGATGGTGTTGGTGATGATGGTAGAAGTAAGTGATGGTATTTTTGACAATGACAATGTTGTTGGTGATGATGATGGTGATGGTGAAGGCAGTGATGGTGTTGGTGATGACAGTGCTGTTGGTAGTGATGATGATGGTAATGGTGGAGGTGGTGATGGTGCTGTTAATATTGATAATGGTAGTGAGATAGTGTTAGGGTGGTGATGGTGGGTGGAGATAGTGATGGTGTTGTTGGTGATGGTGGTGGTGGTGATGATGGTGGTGATGGTGTTAGTGGGTTGGTGGTGGTGATGATGGAGGTAGTGAAGTGGTGTTAGTAGGATGGTGGTGGTGATGGTGAAGGTAGTGATGGTGTTGTTGGTACTGATGATGGTGGTGGTGGAGGTAGTGATGGTGTTGGTAGTGATGATGGTGGTGATGGTGGAGGTAGTGATGGTCTTTTTGGTAGTGATGATGGTGATGGTGGAAGTAGTGATGATGTTGGTAGTGATGATGGTGGTGATGGCAGAGGTAGTGATGATGTTGGTAGTGATGATGGTGGTGACTGTGGAGGTAGTGATGATGTTGTTGGTAGTGATGGTGGTGACGGTGGAAGTGGTGATGGTGTTGTTGGCAGTGATGATAATGGTGGTGACGATTGGAGGTAGTGATGGTGTTGTTGGTAGTGATGATGGTGGTGACGGTGGAGGTAGTGATGGTGTTGCTGGTAGTGATGATGGTGGTGACGGTGGAGGTAGTGATGATGGTGGTGGCGGTGGAGGTAGTGATGGTGTTGTTGGTAGTGATAATGGTGGTGACGGTGGAAGTGGTGATGGTGTTGTTGGTAGTGATGATGGTGGTGATGGTGGAGGTAGTGATGGTGTTGGTAGTGATGATGGTGGTGACGGTGGAGGTAGTGATGGTGTTGCTGGTAGTGATGATGGTGGTGACGGTGGAGGTAGTGATGATGTTGGTAGTGATGGTGGTGGCGGTGGAGGTAGTGATGGTGTTGTTGGTAGTGATAATGGTGGTGACGGTGGAGGTAGTGATGGTGTTGTTGATAGAAGTGATGATGGTGGTGACGGTGGAGGTAGTAAGTGGTGTTGTTGGTAGTGATGATGGTGGTGACAAATTGGAGGTAGTGATGGTGTTGCTGGTAGTGATGATGGTGGAGGTAGTGATGATGTTGGTAGTGATGGTGGTGATGGTGGAGGTAGTGGTGATGTTGGTAGTGATGATGGTGGTGGTGGAGGTAGTGATGGTGTTGTTGGTAATGATGTGGTGGTAGTCACGATGGAGGTGGACGGGGCGTAGTGATGATGTCAATAGTGATGATGGTGGTGATGGCAGAGGTAGTGATGATGTTGGTAGTGATGGTGGTGACGGTAGAGGTAGTGATGGTGTTGTTGGTAGTGATGATGGTGGTGGTGGTGGAGGTAGTGATGATGTCAGTAGTGATGATGGTGGTGTTGGTGGAAATTAGTGATGGTGTTGTTGGTAGTGATGATGGTGGTGGTGGAGGTAGTGATGGTGGTGTTGGTAGTGATGATGTCAGTAGTGATGATGGTGGTGATGGTGGAGGTAGTGATGATGTTGGTAGTGATGATTGTGGTGATGGTGGAGTAGTGATGATGGTGGTGATGATGGTGGAGGCGTGATGTTGTTGATAGTGATGATGGTGGTGATGTTGGAGATAGTGATGGTGCTGTTGGTAGTGATGATGGTGGTGATGTGAGTAGTGATCATGCTGTTGGTAGTGATGGTGGTGATGGTGGAGGTAGTGGCTTGATGTTGGTAGTGATGATCGTGGTGATGGTGGAGATAGTGATGGTGTTAGTGAATGATGATGGTGGTGATGATGGAAATTACTGATGGTGTTGTTGGTAGAGATGATGGTGGTAATGGAGGTGGTGATGGTGTTGTTGGGAGTGATAATGGTGGCGGTGGTGGAGGTAGTGAGTGGCAGTGTCAGTGACCGTGTTAAAAAAGAAAAAAAGCTGCTCTTTCAGATCTAGGCAAATCTCAGAAACTCAGGTGTCTGCTTGCATATGATATAGGAAATGTTCTCTGCTCTAGAAGCCGTGAGTCCACAGCTTCCTGACCCAGGAGCAACTTAGGCAAGGGCTTCTGGAGAAGTAGAGAGAGAAGATGATGCATCGTAGATATGAAGAACAAAGCTGTGTCCAAGTCATGCCTAACCTCACGAAACCTCAGTTTACTCACTTGCAAAATGGAGATAATACTTATAACCTGCATCATAAGGATGAGACTGCAATAAGATAAGAAGGATGTAGGTTGGGCACAGTGGCTTACGCCTGTAATCCCAGCACTTTGGGAGAAGCGACAAGGGAGGATCTCTTGATGCAGGAGTTCAAGACCAGCCTGGGCAACATGGCAGAATCCCCATCTCTACCAAAAAAATAAAATATTAGCTGGGCCTAATGGTACACACCTATGAGCCAGCTACTTGAAGAACTGAGGTGGGAGGATTACCTGAGCCCAGGGGTTAGAGGTTGCAGTGAGCTGTATGGCATGCCCTCAGCCTGGAAGACAGAAGCCCAGCTTTGTTTCCAAGAAGGAAAAAGAAGAGATGCAACATGATGCTTAGCGCACAGTAAATGCACAAAAGATCCTGAGCCTCCCAGGGTTCACTCTCCTAACCCTCTCTTGTGCCCATCTGCTGAAACAGTCATGACTACAGACTTCTGCCCCCTGCTCTTGGAGAAAGACTTAAGAGTCTCTTCCTCACTCTCTGAAGCCCCAGTATTAGTTTCTTTGTCCCCCATGCCCACTCCCAGCAACTCCAGCGCCTAGCTCAATCAAGATGTCTGAAGGTCCTGGCTGCTGCCAGAAGAGGTGGATGATGTACCTGTGTCTGCTGGTGGTGACTTCCTTGTTCCTGGGCTGCCTGGGTCTCACTGTGACCGTGATTAAATGTGAGTAGGGCCATGATGGGATATGAGAGAGATTGGGGAGGGAGCACAGGAGGATCTGGGCTCAATGTGGACTCGTCTTCATAGACCAGAAGTTGATGGAAGAACTGAGAATGTTAAGCTTTCCAGCAGATGACGTGGCGAGCAAATGGTAAGTACTTTCAGTCATTCCTTCATGCCACTCTATTGAGCCCTAACCAATCCTCAGCTCCAACTCCAAAATCCAACCTCATCCTATCTTTGCTGGGCACTGTGCTGGGTCCCAGGGGGTAAATGGTAAGCATGTCAGACACAGTCCGTCCTGAGTGTGCATGTGTATATGTGTCTGAACCTCCACCATCAATATGGTGGCTACAAACATACATGTTGCTGTTGAACACTTGAAATGTGGCCAGTCCAAATGGAGATGTGCTCTAACTATAAAAAATACACACTGGGCCAGAGGCAGTGGCACATCACTGTAATCCCTAACAGCACTTTTGGAGGCTGAGGCAGGAGGATTGCTTGAGGCTGGAAGTTCAAGACCAGCTGGGCAATACAGCAAGACCTCATCTCTAAAAAAATTAGCAGGGGTGTGGTGGTGTGTGGGTATTGCTTGTCATCCCAGCTGCTCAAGAGGCTGAAGTGGGAGCATCTCTTGAATCAGGAGTTTGAGGTTGATCATGAGCCATGATCATGCGCCAAGAAGATCCTCCTGCCTCAGCCTCTTGAGTAGCTGGGACGCAGGCGCGTGCCATCACACCCGGCTGATTTTTAATTTTTTTTTTTTTTTCTAAAGAAGAGGTTTCACTATGTTGACTAAGCTGGTTTCAAACTCGCGACCTCAAGTGTTTCTCCTGCCTCAGCCTCCTGAAGTGTTCTGTGCCTGGCCTAAAACCTGTGTTTCCGTTTTGTCCAACTGAAGGACCAGCTACTGAGCTAGGGAGTATTGAAAAAGGGAAAGGGATTCATGGGGGAGTAGTGATAACACACACATTGATACAGAAGAATCTTCTGACCATGGCTTTCATCATGACTGCTGAAGTCTGAATATTTCTCCATTTCCACACTGCCTCACCCTGTGCTTCATAACAACAACTCATCCCATCATGGCTTCTCATTGTCCAGAGTCCAAGAGTGAAACCTTTGGCTTGGCATTCAAGGATCCACATACTAGGTTGGGCACAGTGGCTCATGTCTGTAATCCTAGCACTTTGGATGGCCAACTTTCTTTCTTTTCTTTTCTTTTCTTTCTTTCTTTCTTTCTTTCTTTCTTTCTTTCTTTCTTTCTTTCTTTCTTTCTTTCTTTCTTTCTTTCTTTCTTTCTTTCTTTCTTTCTTCCTTCCTCCCTCCCTCCCTCCCTCCCTCCCTTCTTTCCTTCCTTCTTTCCTTGTACTTTCTTGCCTCTTGCTTTCTTTCTCTCTTTCTTTTTTCTTTTGACAGAGTTTTGCTCTTGTTACCCAGGATGGAGTACAGCGTCGATCTCGTCAC